TTGCTTTTATTTATAACATTCAAATAATTTCATCATTAGTTTTACATTTTCATTATTTTCCTCATTTGGTCTGAGCAGTACCAAATGTTTTTACGTAAAAATTTTTTTTTTAATAAAATTTTATCATTTATTTTGTACTCTTTAATTCTTTAATGATAAAAACTTAGATTGAGATTGAGAGAAAGTTTTTTTTTTAATATTTTAAAGCTAATTACTATCACTTGGGTTAAAAAAGAAAGTCTTGAATAGGAGATAAAAAGATATACATATCATTTGATTTTTATTGTTTTTAAATTAAAGATACTATCGTTTGGATTTTATTTTTTTTAAATAGTAGTATATCAAATATTTTATACAAATAAAATATATAATTTGGCTAAGATAGACTTGTAGCTTAATGTTTATAGGACTACTACTATGATTAAAAAGTAAGGTAACTTTCGTTTTAAAAATTTGCACGTTTTACATATCGATATAACCATTTATTTTTCAAGTTGGTATAAGTGTCCTTAATCTGACAGAAGACGCTATAATTTCTAATCCAATAAGTGAAATGATATGAAACTTCATCAATACGTAAAGTGTGCAAATTTTTAAAACAAAAATCACCTTATTTTTTGATAATAGTAGTATAATTTGGCGCCAGTTATTGATATCAAATCTTTTATACAATTTTTTATACAATTAATAATGACGACGTTTCTTAAAGTAAAGTAAAAATTTACGAATCGGACTTTGTGTAGCAATATCTCCGTTTGTATGTCCCTTTACTTGACACTTTTTTTTATCTTTTTTTAAAAAGATAATTTTGTAATGATTTTTTTATAGACAGAGGTGTAGAAGATATAAAGGTCAAACCGTGAGTGTTGTGCTAATCCTACACTATTGTTACTGAATTGCTAAACAGAAAATCTAAAAATCTAAAATTTAGAGATCATTGAATTGGTTGGTTAGGAAATAATAGATAATCCGCACATTCTTCAGATTTAACGCTTATGGATTTTTATTTGTGGAGAAATGTACAGCAAAATAATAACTAGAGAAGAACTAGAGAAGAGACTTGAAGAAGTATATAAGAAGAGCTTACGTTGCGATTGATCCAAATGAAATTTATCATACAGTATTCTCTGTGCGATACTGCGATACACTTGAGAAAAACTTGAGATGCTCAGAGTCATCATTTTGAACTTGCAGCAATGAGTACGCGAATAAGTAAACTGATGAAATATTTGAAGAATATCTTGGAGCAATTTATTTTCCATTATAGTTGACCTTGTGTAATTTTGAATGACCTTCAATTATAAGTCATTATATCGTGTTGAAACGCCCTATCAGAATGTAAATAAATTGGATTAAATAAAAACATATCATTTCATTTAAAAAGAACAGATTTGATCTCTATTGTATCCTTTACGCTTCCTAAAAATTTATAAAAAATGATTGATGGCACATCATATGCCCTTTGAAACTAAGTAATATTTGTTTGACACTTTTCTTCCTATTGTTAAAAGCAAGCGAATTATTTAGATAACCTTTAGATGTCTCATTCTGTATATTCATGAAGCTTTTATAAACTTATATTATTAGAAATACAATGCAAAATTTTAAATATATAATTTGAATATATGATTTGCATATCAATTCTGTATCTACAATTTAAAGTGTTTGGTAAATTTAAACAATATATGTATGTAAATGTTTTTAAAATGATTTGTGTTATATATCAATTATGATAAAGAAAAAATCAAATCAAATGTCTATTAGCTACATATTCTTCTTATTTTTATATAGATTTATAATTGGTTTTAATAAGTAAATTTTATCATTAAAAAAAGAAAGGAAGAAGATGAGAGAGAGAAAGAGAGAGAGAGAGAGAGAGAGAGAGAGAGAGAGAGAGAGAGAGAGAGAGAGAGAGAGAGAG